GGATCCTATCACAAGTTAAATTTTTGTTAATTGTAAATAGAATGAATCTATTCCAAAAATTGGCATCTCAAATATTTTCTAACAGACTCTTACAAAGCCTTTTAGACATTTTATCTTTCATTTGTCAAGGAAAAAGACTTTCATTGTGCCCTAGATATCAGGTTATTTTCATATGTACGAAGAAAAAACACTTGGCCTCGCGGGTTTTAGCGGAGTATATGAATATGTGGAATGGCACTAATGTGGACAATGACAATCCTATTCATTAATTCTATAGAGTAGGGCCTTTTTTGTTTGTTTATGTGGTTCGTTGGTTGATATTTTCTAGCTTTTTATATCCACACTAGTTTTTACACACGTGCAATGCACGTGATTTAATATCATGATTAAGTATTTTTGGCAGTTTGTGCTCATTTTTTTCTTTAAACTCTTACATCACGATTATTTTTTTATGTTTGTTTAAATGGGATACACCCAATTTAAATTTTCATGTTGATATTTGAATTGAAAAAAAAACAAATATAATTTAAAAATAATTTGAATTTTTATATTATTTTTGACCGATATGAAACTAAGCTTTATTTGAGAAAGTATAGCATTACAAAGTGAAAAATATTAAAATAGTGTTATACAAGGAAGGTGAATATTTAAAACCAATATGGCAAAATGATTGATTTAAAGTATGTTAAAACGATGCAAAAGAGAATATGAAGTTTATTCCTAATCATTGATAGACTTCATAAAAAAATATAAATTAAAGATTAATGCTAAACTCAAGACTTCTTTTTTTTTAAGGCCTTGATGTGTTGGAGAGTATGTTATCTTTCGTTGTTTACGAAGTTGATGGCTTGTTTGATTCCCCGATGCAAATATATTTGACTGGAATAGGGATACTTAGGTTTAGGGGCTGTTTGGTTGTTGTTGGTAAAATTGTGTATTTATGACACAACTTAGAAAGTTGTTGTCCACCTCATCAAATTCAGTTGTATATTTTTCTTTGTTTGTTTTTTATTCCATTGGAATCATAAATTGCTTGTTTGGTTTGCAAATGTAACTTTAATTGTTTGTTTGGAAAGTGTGAAAAGTGGTCCCTACTCAAATGATCATATTGGTTAGAATTATTTTTTATTATTTTTTTCTAACTTCAATGTCAGCTTTCTCCTAAATTATGAAATCACTTTACAAGCCACATCAGCATATGAAATCACTTTACACTATTTTCACAACTACAAACAAACAATTGAAAGTGATGAAAGCTGACATTGGGATCCACTTTTTTACACTTTTCATCCTTTTACATGGTAAAAACATACAACCAAACATCCCCTTAAGTTTGATTTTGAGTTAATATTAGAAAAACTCCTTAACTTTATATGAATATCAGAAAACCCCTCTTAACTTCCAAAGTATCAAAAAAATCCCCTTAAAGTATAGGGATTATCACAACCAACCCCACCCCCCCCACCCCCACCCCCAACAAAAAAAAGATTTTATTAAAAAATCTCATTTAACTTTCAAATCTTATCGGAAAACCCTCTAAATTTAGAGGGTTTTCTAATAAAATCTGAAAGTTAAAGGAAATTTTCTGATAACCCCTAAATGTAATGAGTATTTTTATATTTTGAAACTTAAGAGGACCTTCTAGTAATCGTTTTAGGTGTAATTATTTGATAAAATCTAAAAGTTAAAGAAGATTTTCTGATAACCCCTAAGTTTAATGGATTTTTTATATTTTTAAAAGTTAGGGGGTTCTAATAATAATTCAATAAGAGGATTTTAATAATATTTATATCTTTTTAACATGTGTCTTGTACCGTTGCACGGTTACACTCATCACGAATCAAAATGCCAGAGGAAATGGACAAAACAAACATTTTCTAGAAGAGATAGAGAGAGAGAGACAAAGAAAGGACAAAGGAAATGGACAAAACAATCATTTTCTAGAAGAGACACAAAAGGAGGAGGTGGGGACAAAATAAACATGAAAAAAATTGGACGAGACACCATATGGGCCACAAGCACCAAAGAAACTCATGGTCAACACAAACACGTTCACGATAACTACATGGGGGCGTCGGCGGGGTTGGGAAGCAAATACCAAATAAATGTGAAAATTTTGGACGAGGCACCATATGGGCCACAAATGTTTCGCACCAAAGAAACCCATGATCGACACAGACACGTTGTTCATGATAGCTACATGAGGGGCTGTAGGCGTCTAAAAATGCCTATGGGTGCCCGCACATAGCTCAAGACAAAGAGGAGGCGATGAACGTCATTATCCGAGTCAAAGAGGATTATCCGACGCCGACAAGCGCATGAAGCGAATCGGCGAACTGTTGATGACATGACAATGAACCACCACAATAGAAAACGCCAAGTGGACCGCGCGCGTCAATCAACTCAAAGCGTACAAACGCGCCCAACAGTCAGTTAGCACGCACGCATCATTCAGCTCGTGCATGTCAATCCGTTCGCGCGTCAATCAGTTCGTGCGCGTCGGTCAACACACGTGCGTCAATCAACACGCGCGTATATCAACCAACGTGTGTTCGACAGTCAATCCCGCAACGAAGTATGCAAGTCAACAAGACGGTCAAAACACGCAAAACGGGAAAAACTACAAATCTCGAAAGAGTCGGAAAACCAAAAAAATGTCGGACTTCGGAACCCGTGCCGGTGCGGGACGGCCGAAACTGACCCGCACCAGCGCGGGTCGGCCGAAACCGACCTGCACCAGCGCGGGTCGGCTTT